ACTAAATAAATAATAGCTATGATTGAAGTCTCCTATGTGCCTTTCCTTACTCCAACTCTCTCTTGTGCCCCAAATATCACTCTCTAAATATAGTGTTGATCATTCCTATACATGGCTTTATATTTGGTCCATACGTATCAATAAACGACTTCTAGCACTGTTTTTCAGGTTTTAGATATATATGCAAAAGACAAATCTAATATATTGTCATAATGTTATTGTGTCATAATATATCATATATATTGATAAATATATCATGGTATTAGTGGTAAAGCAATTGTCTCATAATTTGCTTTTCACTTGTTATTTCTGAGATTTGTCCAGCTCAGTGTGATTTATGAGGCTCTACTTCATTCTTTTTTCACTACTATATAAAGTTCATAGCATGACTATATTACAATTAACATATTACTTTAAAAATAACCATGCCATTATGCTCAAAATTATCAGTAATTTCTTAATATTATCTAATACCTAGTCCATATTAAAATATCCCCAACTGTATCAAATATGTCTTTTTACAATTATTTTATTCAAATGAAGTCCATCCAATGTATTTGGCCATTATGTCTTTTAAATCTCTTTTATTCTAAGTCTTTTCTTCTTTTTACCCCCATACCATAGAATTGTTGGAGAAACTGGACTATTTGTCTCATGTCCTGGATTTAGCTAGTAGCTTCGTGTAGTGTCTTGATCGGATTCAGTTTTTAAGTGAGGGGGAAAAGGAGAGAACAGAAAACTGTTGCATGTAGCTCAATGATCAAACTCACCAATATGGTATAAATCTACGTGATGGGCCTCTTGATATGATGTAATGCTAAATAGATAACATGGCCTATGTAATATTTTACCAAAAGGGACTTATCTAATTAGGAAGAATAAACAGAACAAAGTCAGATCATGGGATCTTTTAAAAGATAACTTGTGTGGACCATTCAAAAATGTCACGAAAGAAAAAATTAGGTGAACACTGATCGGATGCTGGATCATAAACAACGCTACGGCTATACAGGATATAACTGAAAAAACTGGAGAAATCTGACTATGAAACTGTATGAGAGATAACATTATATCACGTCGAGTTTCTTAGGTGTGATAACGGCATTGTGGCCGTGTGGGAGAATTCCTTGATATTCAGGGTCCACAGGTAACTCGCAAGTGGTTCAGCCAAAAAATAAAAAGGTGTGTGTGTAAATAATCTGGCAAAGTGTATTGACAATTGGTGAATCAAGATGAGAGGTATAAGGGTGTCTGTTGTGTTTTTAAAACGTTTGTTGGTTTAAATTTTTTTTAAATAAAAAGTTGTGAGCAAAAGAACACTTTGCTGGCAGAGCTATTAGGCCCCTCCTGCATCACACTGGGGCACTTCCAATTTGTAGGTCTCACCATTGCTGACTCTGATTTCCCCTATTTGTCGTGTGCTCCAAATCTCTTCCCCTCGGGGTGCAGGAACGTGGGTGGAGGCCCAGAGAGCCTGTACTTCATCATGCTGATGCTGTGAAATTCCAGCATCATTTAAAGGAGGGAAGGAAAAGAAGGAAGAGATGGAGAGGAAGGCCAGCAACAAGGCTCCGCTGGTGCAGGCTCTGCCGCCTCCAAGATTCCCTCTGTGATCAGGCACTGCCTCCTGGTGGCCACCGGCACGCATGCAGCGTCCCCGCCAGGAGTAGGGCATCGTCCTGCAGCCTTCACTCTAGCCAGGATGCACCCATAGAAAGGACCCCCCACAGGCCAGCGCTCCTACAATCCCAGCCTGTTCACCATCTTAAAGAACATCAGCTAGAGCCCAGCACGGTGCAACTTGCTTTACAGATACTAGCTCACTTAATCCTCACATCAGCCATAATTGGTGGGATTATGGTAGCCCCCATTTCAAAGCCACAAACTAAAACTCAAAGAGGGGAGGTGACATGCCAAAGACTGCACAGCTAATGTCACATCTTCTAAGTACAGGTCCAATGCTGTGCCCACTACAGCCCAGCTGCTTCCAAGTCTGAAACGTCTATCATGCTATGGGCCATGCACTGTGCAATGTATTAACTCATTTAATCCACAACAGCCCTAGGGGTATAGGTTCTATTAATATGGCCATTTTACAACTGAGAAAACTGAGGTACAAAAGTTTTTAAGAAATCTGCCCCAGGTGACTCAGAGGAGTATTGACTGGGGAAAAGCACTGAGGATCATTGGAATTGTCTGTTTTTTCAGTTCATAAATGTTTACGGAGTACCTCCTAGGTGCAGGACCCTTAACTAAGACATGAATGTTCAGCGAGGAGACAAAACAATGCTGTTAAGTTGAAAAAATGACAAAAATGCAAAGAGCAAACCTAATCTATTTACAAAAATGCATTCCTGAAAATAAGATCCTCAACAAGGAGAATACAATGGTTTTAAGATCAGTCAGAAATAAAAGTAAATGTAAACTACTGCTCTCTTCTGGGGAAGAGGGCGAGTTGAAGTGAATGTAAACATTTTCACTGCAACCCACCAACAGAAGTAACACACTGGCAATTCTAATTTAAAACTTGGCTGAATATTTACTTCAAAGGAAAAGTGAAAGAGGGCGCTGCCATTCTCCTAAGAAATGCAGACGTATTAAAATTCCTACTCCTAATAAACATTTAAGCACACCACCTGCAACCAACTCCTTTGCTCCAAGCTTCTGGACCTGCCTTCCAGGAAGCAGGCACGCCGGTGCTCAGCTCCCTCCCAAGGTCTAAGAAAGTCCAGTCATCGCGCTCTTGCCACCTACCCTTTCCCTCCCTCTGGTGCCTCTGGGCCCCCACTCCTCTCCCACGCCAGATTTCTTAGAAAGCCCAGACTGGGGTCCACAGGGCTTCTGTCAGAGATTCACGCCTTCCTCACCTTGGCAAGACCCTAGGGTGAAGTAGCCCTCTGGGGAGGCCTGGTTTAGGGCACAAACACGCTGTGTGCTCGCTGTTGTTGGGACTGGAGTGCCAGGACTTTCTTCTGAGCAGTGCCCCTTCACCAACATACTTTCTTTTCCACTTAGTTAAACAAGATGCTTACAATAACTGTAGAAAAAATGAAGAACACAAGGTTTTCTTTTCATTCTTTTTAAAAACCACTTTATTAAGGTATGATTGACATACAAAAAGCTGTACATACTTAATGGATACAACTTGAGTTTGAATATCATTTTCATTCTTCCCATCTTTGCTACTATTTTGGTCTATATGCTCTATGAAATGTTGTCTGGACATATTTAAGAAACAGATATAGCTGGAAAAATTGGCTAAAAGTGTGAACTAACTGGAGAAGAGTATCGACTGAAAAACAAAACAAACAAAGCATCCCATTAAAGTAGCTGTATTTTTGTTAAAGTGGTTCTCAAAGTGCAGTCCCTGGACCAGCAGTGTCAGCTTCATCTGGGAACTTTTTAGAACTGCAACTACTCTGGACCAGATCTACTGAATCACATAATAGCAGGCTGGGGTCCAAAATCTGTTTTAACCAGCACTCCAAGAGATTCTGATGCATATTCAAATTTGAAAACAACAACTACTACTACTACTATTACTACCGCCACCACCACCACCACCACACGATGAACAAACCTATTAATTCGGTGATTATTTAACCAAAGGGTAATGAGTCCCATGCCAGCTCTGGGCTCAGAAAAATCCCAAGATTCCCTAGCCATAACAATAGCGACCTGTATTTAAGAAATAACAGCAGGAGGAGCCTGGAGAATGCCTGGTGTGGGGGCACAGTTTTCCCACCCAACGGCTCTCCCTGAGGTAACAAATAGTATGAACTAGAGGCATCCAGATGGGTTGGAAAATGGTGGTGGGGGGTCCCTTAATCACCTTCCCCGAAAAGTGTTTGTGTGGTGAAATTAGAAAATAAACTGAAAGTGGAAAAGGACCAAGAATGTTCTTTCCTGACAGGTGATTCAGACTGGCTGGTGGTGGGAGTGGATGTACATGCAAGAAAAGGTTCCTGTAACTTGTGCAGGATCTCCATCAACTGAGCACCCTTGAGCTCCCAGGAAGGGCCCCCTGGGGGTGTTTTTCTGGCTCCAATCCCTCTTTTTCCATCCCTTTCTGCTCTCCTCTTGGACTCCTCTCTCTGACCCTTTTTCTCCATCTTTCGCTTTTTACTCCCCTCCTCCACTCCACCACCAGCATCCAGGTCTCTAGCTGCTGACTCATCAGCATGGAGGACACATAGGTCACCACTTCCTTATATGCCCATGGGACATCTGGTTCCCTACTGACACCTTAGGACCTCAGTGGTAGGGCAGGGACTTAGCGGGTAGAGAAGGGTGTGAAGAATCCTGCTGGTCCTGGAAGGAGAGGTGATCCATAAAGCTCCCCAATACGTATGCTATTTTGTCCCACAAAAAGGCCTCAGGCCCCAATCTTCTTGGCAGGCTTGCCAATGTTGTTCTGATGTGTTACTGGGTCTTTGGGTCAGTGGAGCTACCCCCACCCGAGTTGGACCCCTGCACGGGGAAATGCCACTGACCTGGCAACCTCTGGGGAGTGTCACACACTAAGAGGAGAAGCGAATGAGTGTCCCTTTTCTCTCCCTGCCTTTGGTCATTTCCTTGCTGGGCTCCTGCCCCTTTGCTGCTCACTCAAACTCTTGTTAGTACAGGGACTATTTGGGGGCAGAGGTGTGGCAGATCACACCCACCCCTTTCCAGAAGCTGTAGAGGTCCTTCTAGGTCAGATTGGGGATGGTGAGGCAGTGTCTGTGCCTGTGGAATCTTGGGATTTTTCTGAGCCCAGAGCTGGCATGGGACTCATTACCCTTTCGTTTAAACCAGGGTAACCTTTCCACTGACCCCTCAAATGGAGTCAAAATACCCACTGTAACTCCTCAGCTGGATGGGAAGTCTCCAGGGCAGCTCTCTCAAATCTGGCAGCAATTATGGGTCTTGAGGGGGCCCCTCACATGTTCTTGCTCATCCTCTGAATTAAAACTTTTTATTCTATTCTATCCATTAGCTTAGATAACTCCTGTGGGGTTTATTTTTTTTATTATAGTTGACATACAATATGTTAAAGGTGTGCAACACAGTGATTTGACATATACTTTATGATATGATCACAATAAGTCTAGTAACCACCTGTCTCTTTACAAAGTTATCAAGATAGATTGACTATACATTGTTTTATTTTTACCATTCTTCCAGTGTTTACGCTCTGAAGGTATTTTTTCTTTAGCTGCTTTTAATGCTTCCTTTGTTTTTCAATCATTGTACAGCAATGTCCCTAGGTATGGTCAACTGCCTCTCTAGGAAAGGAGGCACCCAGAATGTTGGGCTTATCGCAATGAGCTTCCCTTCTCTCTGGCATCTTGATTCCTCAATTCCCGGCTGTCTTGGCAGCTCTTCAATGCCTTCAAATAAATTTGCATTTTATCCAGCTTTTCTAGCTATTTCTAGCAGGAGTGTTAGTTTATGACAAGCTACTTTTATAGCTAGAAATTAAGTATCACTGTCTTGGTTTTTAATTCTGTATGTTTACACTTACAAATAATGTTGTTTTATACAGTTAATTATTTAATTTATACAGTTTGCCACTTTCTTTGAGTTGTATTTTCTTGTGTCTCTATCTTTCTGGGATCATTTTATATGAAATAGAGCCTTTAGAATTTCCTTTAGTTAGGGTCTGCTCATGATGAAATTACAGTTTTAGTTGTATAAAAGGGACTTGTGTCCCCATCCGTGAAAAATGTTTACTATATAAAGAGTTCTATGTAAGCAGATATTTTCTTTAAGTACAATAATTTCATTCCTTATTCGCATGGCTTCCATTGATGCTACTGAGAAGTCAGATGTTACTTCTTTGAAGTTAATGGATTTTTTTCCCTAATTGCTTTTAAGATTTTATTTACTTTTTATGTTCTACTGTTTCACCATGATTTATCTAGTTATGGACTTATTTTCATTTATCCTCTTTGAGTTTGGGCTTCTTGAATCTGTAGTTTAGAATGGCTTTCATCAGTTCTGGAAAACTCTTGGCCATTAAGTCTTAAAATATTTCTTATAGCTTTTCCTTTATTTTCTTTCTGGGAATCTGATTAAATTTATGTTGGGCTCTCTTACTCAATAGATTAATGTGTTTTACTTTGCCTTTTGTACTTTCCATCTCATTGTCTCCGCCCATTAGTTTCTGAACAATTTCTTCTCACCTTTATACCAGTTTGTTAAATCTCTGCTTATTTGCTGTTAAACACAGTTTAATTGGCTATTTTAAAAATTGTTCTATTTGGTAATCTGCTATGTCAAGTTTTCAAGCTTTCTTGTTTTTGCAGATATTTTCAAACTTGTCTTTTAAATTCCTTTAAAAATACTAAGAATTGCTACATTATACTTTTTCTCTGATACTTTCAGTATCTGAAGTATTTGTGTCTCTATTTATTGTCTGTTAATTCTGCATGTTCTCTTTCATGTTGTTTCCTTGTCTATCTGGTCACCTTTGAGAATGTGCTAGAAGTTACTAAAAAATAGGGTGTGTGTGTGTGAATACTTTGATGTCTGAAATAATACCTTTCTCTAAGGATCATTTTCATTTACTTTTGTCAGGCACCTGGGCCAAACACTAGTTTGGTCAATGCTGTAGATTCTGAAGGCTCAGGTTCTCTATTCTGCCAAGAAAAACTCAATTTGGGAGACATGGCAATGCCAGGGCTTGTTCCTCCCAGTTCAACATTTTCTTGAGGGTGTCTTCATTTGGGGTCCCAGTTCAAATGTGGGGTGATTAGTCAGCCTCCCAGCTTTCAGCACTTTTTTACTTGTACCCCTCATACTGCAAGTCCACCAACCTTACACCTGGGTATCACAGGTGTCTTTCCTTCAGCAAATGCCTTTAAGCAAAGGCAGCTTTGAGTGCAGGGATTATGAACTCAGTCTCCCACTTCTCCAAGACTTTGATCCCTAATTCTTCATTCTTCTGTTAGCTCTTTGAAATGTTTTTTTTCAACATTTCATCCAACTTAAGCTATTTCTATGGAAGAGCTGAGGCTAATCACTTGGACCACCATTACTGGGAGCGTAACCCAGTAATGGTTCATTATCCTCCCTCCAGCCTGCCCGCACAGGCCCTTTCCAGTCCCAAGGAAGGGAGCTGAAGGGAGGAGAGGAAGAGATGGTGTCACTGTTTTTACGACCTTGTTTTGGGGGAGTAGAAACTTATACTGTATTTCTCAGAAAAAGCCACACTTTTTCAGAGAGAAGAGCTATGATTACCTGGAGTTTCTCCACTTACCTAGATAATCTCATACGCTTCAATTTATCCCAATTTTGTCCAGTAGGTCACGTGATAGGAGCTAACCGTATCTAGCCACCCGGCAAAGCGCGAAAGAAGAGGGGAGGAGTTGGCCTGAGGTGTTCTGGCCTTGGGGCACCAGCAGCAGTTGGCGGCCGCTGGACGATAGCCTCGCACTGACAGCAGGACGCCGGGGAGAGACAGCGTCCTCTCAGAGGGAAGCGAACACCGAGCGCGGAGAACACACTGGAACCAAGCATCCAAGTACAAGAAGCGAGCCGAGCAAACACCGCCCAGCGCCCGCGTCGGGGGCGGAAGAGATCAGGCCGGAAGCGGAAGTGCATCCCGCCAAGGCTTTCGGGCAATATATTCTCCAGTCGCGCCAGGTTCCGAGCACTCAGAGGAGGCTCCTTTCGCGCGATTGTGTACGGCGCTTGGCGGACCGCGTTATTAAATGTTGGGGGAAGCGGTGGCCTTCCTTTGACACCTCTTTAATGCGCACAACTGGGACTTAACTGCTAATTCTAAATTTGGTGGTACAAATCTTTCCAACTGCTGTGGTGCCACCATTAAGAGGCCTCTCCCGCCACGCTGTCCAGCCCCTCTTTAGGATCCCCTAACCTGAGGAAAAACAATTTTGTGCTTACTTACGGTTATTAAAATTTAGTATAGTCCAGTTTAAAACTCCAAACTCATAGCTTATTTTTAGATGCCCGCATGCCCGGCCTGCTTCACTGAGCGTCGGTCGGGTGAGGGCGAAGGAGGAGGAGGGTGTCTGTCCTCTGGGGTAGTCCTGTTCAGCCTGGGGCCGGTGGCCTGTTCTGACAGGGCGGTCCCCTCACAGGGACATGAGCGGCTGTCTGGGGGCTGCATGCATCTTCTCCCAGTTCTGTGTGTTCATTCACAGTGGGACAGCGTAGTTTCTCCTTTGGCCACTTCGGTCCTCGCCTCTGAGCCCTCTCCTGGTGGGTCGTCCCCTAGTTTGGCTGGGCAGCCTCTGGGAGACAGCCCTAAGGCTTCTGCCACCCTGTGTCTTCCTTCCTCCCTTCCGGGAACTCCAGGCACAGGGTAAACATATGTCCCGATTTTAGAGCACAGGCTCAGCTTCCCCGTCTGGTTAGCTACCCCTCCATTCTTAGGAGTCCGGTTCTGGATAATCAGTTATGTAGTTGCCCTATCCATGATCAACAGAAATCCTGTCTTGTGATCTCTGGCAGCAAAGAAAAACATGGAGTTGTCCTATCCTTCCTAGGCACAACACAAACGCGGGACCTTGTCAGGCTTCCATGCTCAGCTGCTATGGGCTACTCTAGCAGCTCCTCCCTTCAGAAATCTCGTCAGTTGTGGGCATCTGTTCCTGTCAATTCCTTTCCACCCCCTTACCACCGCACACACTCCTCAGGGGTAGACAGCAAGGGTGGAGGCAGCCCCAAAGTGGGCCTGTGGTTTCGCTGAGGATAGACACCCAGCTCTAGTGACTTCGGATGTCCACAGTATCTCCAGCCATCCTCTTGGTGCCTGAGTCCTCAAGTCCCATAGGGAGGGAGAGGCCTCACCCCAGGACCATAAGGCCCTTCTCCTCTGGATCTGACCCTTGTTGCATGGTTACATGTCAATGGGGCACAGGAGTGCAAGACTGTGCTAGTCTCACACCTCCTAGTGAGTCCTGTGGCACCCCTTAGACTATAGGGGTACATGACATTTTGTTTTCACCTTTGAGGCTTTATCAGCAATTCCAAGCCAAAGTCCTGTGACATGTCTTAACTTTTGAAAATGAACATTAAAATTCAAGAACAATTGGTAATTGCTAGTTTCATAATGCACATAGTAAAACAAAAATCCCATTGGTTATTACAACTAATACTTATCATAGCACAATAAAATATATTTGAAGTCAGAATTTCTTGGTTCCTTTATCGATTAAAATGTGTTTGTACAAAAAAGTGTTTTCCCAAAATTACAGGGTTTTCACTGAAATTTATTAGCAAAAATTCTCTCCTTCTACTAAGTCCCGCAAATAATCACTTAGGTTATCTACAGGAAGCCCTTTGCTTCCCTGCTCTCCCTTTTTAATTGGTCCCCGAAATAGCATTTCTAGAGTGGAAATGACATTACTTGATCCTGACAGTGCTAAGACCTCTCTCTTCTTTCTTGGACTTAGATCAGCTTCTCCCCTTGGGAGCATGAATGCCTATTTTTCCTTTCCCTGAATCCTTTAGGCATGCTAGATGTACAAGACAGACGGGCTCATACCCCGAGGAGAACCAAGCAGATGGCTTTGTGGGAGGAGGGACCAGATACGAGCAAGGAGGTCGACTTTGACTGTAAAAGATTTTAAACATTCAGAGAGGCATATACAATAAACACCTCTGCATCACACTTTTAACAAATGTTAATCATGCCATATATATATATATATTTTTTTTAAATGACACTTTAAGCCTTCTTATCCCTCTCCCTTCTAGTTCCTGAGGAAACCACCATTCTGAAGCTGATATTTTAATACTTTCCTACTTTTACTTCATGAATTAAAAAAAAAAATAGGTATCATGTTTTTGTTGTTGTTGTTTTTATGCTTACAGCACCTGGTCTTCCTAGGTGGTCTCCCATCCAAGTACTAACCAGGTCCAACCCTGCTTAGCTTCTGAGATCAGACATCGGGCTTATTCAGGGTGGCATGGCTATAGACCATGGACCATGGCTCCACTGAGACGCAAACCCAGGACCATTTGCTTGTAAAGCAGACATGCTAACCCTACACTATGGAACCACATCATAGGTATCATGGATTTTTAAATGTTATAACATATCACACTGTGTGTAACCTTCCGCAATTTTATTTTCAATATTAGGCACGTTAATACATGTATATCCAGTTCAACCATTCATTAAATGAGTTACTGCCCTTAGTCATCAAGCTGTTCACTTGTTCTTGCATACCTTTCTGTATGTATGTTATGCTTCAATAAAAGTTACCTCCCACCCCCGCCAATCCCTACTCTCATGGAGCTTACCTTCTAGAGTAGGACATATAATAAATAAAATATTTAGAACGTCAGGTGGTGGTAGGTACTATGGAAAAAAATGAAGCTGGGAAGGGAGATGGGGTATGCCATAGAGGACTGCTATTTTGAAAGAGTGGTCAAGGAAGGGCTCTCTGGTAAAATCTGAACCAAAGATCTGAAGGAGGTGAGGGACCAAACCATGTGATATCTAGGGAAGGGGCATTTCAGGAAGAGGGAACAGCAAATGTAAAGGCTCTGAGGTGGAAGCCTGCCACGTGTTTGTTACCGCAGGGAGGCCAGTGGGCCCAGAGTGATCAAGAAGGAAGACAAGTGGAGAGTCAGATATAATATGGGCAGTAATACTATGCAGGGCTTTTATTGTAGCTTTTATCTAGTGAAATGGAGAGCTATTAGAGGGCTTTGAGCAGAAGAGTGACACCATCTTAGATTTTTAGTGTCTTTCTGGCTGCTGAACTGCAAATATGAAGAGAGGCAAGGGTAGAAGTGGGGAAACCAATTAGGCAGCTATTGGAAATATCTGGGCCATAGATGATGATTTGGGCTAGGGTGGTGGAGGCAACAAGAAATGGTCATCCTCACATATCTTGCAAATCAGCAGACAGGACTTACTGAAGCTTGGATGTGGGGTGTGAAAGAAAAGAATCAAGAATGGTTCCCGTTTGGGGGCCTAAGCAACTGGATGGGATTGCCTTTTCCCAGATGGGAAGACTGAGGAAGGAATATACTTGTGATAGAGCTGGGAGGTGAGATCATGGGTTAGTTTATCTTTGGACCCGTTAAATTTGAGTTATCTTGTAGACATCCAAGCGGAGACGTCACCCAGGCAATTGGTTGTAAGAGTACAATATTCTGGGATGGAGATATAAAATTTGAAGTTACAACAAGTAAATGGATATTTAAAGCCATGAAACAGGATGAGGGCCTCAATGAAGGTGGCTGGAGTTTTAAAAAGAAAAGAGGTCCAAAGACAGCCCTAGGACAATTCCCATTTCTAGAGCAGGGCAAAACAAAGAACCTGAGAGAAGTAGCTGTCAATTAAGTATGTGGAAATCTAGGTAAGTGTGATAACCTGGAAGCCCAGTGAAAAAGTGTCAAGTGTGAGGAAGTGATCAACGGTACCAAATAATGCTGAAAGATCAAGTAAAAAGATTGAAAAACGATTTAACCACATGGAGTCCATCAGTGACCTTTATACATATATTTACATATATGTATAAACATGAGGAAACATACATTATTATGCTGATGGAATTCAGTAGACAAGAAAAAAAGAGATGCATGAAAGAGGACAATTATAGGAAAGCAGTCCTAGTTTAAGGACAGGATATAATACACCAGAGAAATTGGTCTGACATAAGAGAACAGGAACAATAAGGAAAGAAAGAGCTAGTGGGCGAGATGCATGTAGGTGAGTAGTTAGTTGTCTTCTGATCTTTATTTTTCTGTTAACTAGGAAACAAGGTCACCAGCTGAGGGAGGACGGGGGTAAAGGACTGAGGACCAGCTGGAGGTTGAGAAAAGTTATAAAATAGTATCTTAGGAGACTGGGACAATGACTGGACTAGGGAACAAATGCTTAAAGTTAGCAGTCAGAAATTTAAAGTAGGACCAGTCACCATGGCTCCATTTTTCTCCAGCCACATTGGCACAGCAGCAGAACAGGCAGAGCTAGAATATTTTGTTTTGTCAGATGCTCTGGTTCTTTTATTTAGGTATTGTATTATATGAAGTAAGAATATGCCACCACTTATTAACCCATTCACTTACTGACATTTGTGTTGTGTCCATATTTTCACTATTTCAAACACTGCTGCAGTGAGCATCCTTGTGCATGTCCAACGGGAGAATTTCTAGTCGAGGGTACATAGCTAGTCTAGGGTATATATACTGAATCATGAGGTATGCTTAGTTTCAATTTTACTGGTTATTGCCAAATTACTCCCTAAATGGTTATACCAATTTACCCTCCAACAGCAGTGTATAAAAACTCATTTTTCTCCTTCCAACTTTCTGAATTTTTGTCAGCCTAATGGGTATGAAATAGTATCTCACTGTTTTCTTTTGCAATATTCTGATTTCAAGATTGAGCATCTTTTCATTTATAAGTCAGTCTTCATTGTCTATCAACAAATCTCCACTCTATTGCTCACTTAATGAGACTATTATTAAGTAACTACTATGTGTCTAGCACTGTGATGATCAGAGAAACAAAAAGTTAGCAAAATAGATGTGAACCCAGCCATTCTAGTACTCACAATACAGTGCAGGGTGAGGGGAGAACACCAAATAATTAAATACAAACTGTTGTAACATGAAGAATATTAACAGTAACCTATGAAAATTTAAGAGGGAGACCAATTTAGCTGAAGTAGGACAATCAGTGGCAATCTGACCGCCATTTGCTCTTTTGCACTTTTAACAGATGAGTAAGAATGAACTAGTTTAGTAGCTATGAAGGGCTAAGCATTACCATCATCATTACACCTACAAACTTCAGAAGTGCTTTCTTATCTTCCCATGGAGCACAGAGGTGTCCTAGATGCTCTTGGGGACATAATACCTGCCCTGAGGCCCTTCCCCAGATGTACCCAGATATGAGAAGTGGGAGACTGGCTCCCTTTTGCAATCTTGAGATGATTACTTCTGTGCTGTCTTATCTAGTTTATTCCTGTATGAGTCAAGTATTCAGCGTCATTATTATAAAAATCAATGCCAAAAACAATCCAAATATCGTCACAACAGTAGGAGACTTGTTGTGGAGATCCAGAGACTAGCAACATGGAAAATACTTATGAGAAAGCTCTTTTAAGTATGACACAAGGTATTATTTATAGTATGGGCAAATATAAATATCTGATATATTAAGGTATGAAGGTTGTGAGTGAATTTAGGGAATTTAATTTACTGAGTCAAGAAAACCATTCCAAGGCCATTCCTCATTTTGTCTGTTTGGTCTCTGACCAAACCTACCAGCACATCCCTCTACTCACTCACTTCCAAATTACTCTGCATTATATGCAGTTCCTTGAACATAACATGGCTCTGGAGACATGTTAGTGGTTAACAGCTATGCCTTTGCAGCCAGTTGGTCTGGGTTCAAAGCCTAAATCTGCCATGGGGAGTATAACCTAGAGCAAGTTACTTTACCTGAGTTTTTCCCATTGAAAAACAAGGATACAACACACGAATTAGCATTCTTTAATACAAGCAACAGGAATCTGACGAGGTTGGCTTAATCAAAAAGGGGGTAATCATTGGAGACTACTGAATTCCAAAAAGGGCTTCAGAAATTGAGCCAGGTCCAAGGACCTCAGGAATCAGAAATGAGAACACCATCATGTCAGTAGCACCCTCTCCTACTACAGCAGACTTCCCCTCTCTGGTAAGGAATCAGGCTCCGGGAAGCTCAAAACCTTCATCTTTCTGGCCTACCAACTCAAAATCAAAGTTTCCCTGTCAACTCAGTTTTGAAAAAAATTGCTGGCAAAGGAATCTAATATTGGCTCTACTAGGTCATATGCTTTCCCCCAAAACAATCACTGAGCCCCAGGGATATCCTGACTTCTATTCCTGTGGTCAGTACAGCAGGGACTGCTACAAAGAAAAAAGGGAGAAAAAGGCTGGGCAACAATAGCTACTACAAGACCTAGAATGGAGAGACGTAAGGATTAACTGAAATGATAGCTATAAAATACTTAGCAGAATGTCCTTTAAGTAGTAAGCACTCAATAAATGGTAATTGTAATTAACTCACCTGGCTGTGATGTTTAGCAGTTAATCCCTCTGCCTTGATGCGTCACTCTTTAATCTTAGCCAAGTTCTGAAAATTGAAAAAGACAAACTGACTCCCATTCAACTAAGGCTATTTATTGAACTAATACAGTCGATGTTACAAGGATGCATTTCATGTGGCCTAGAAAGCTGGGTATTCCTAAATGCATGGTGCATGGTGACTGAGACTACAAAATCCTCTGCTCAACCAGCCACACATATATTCTAGGCTCCCTCCCTATTAATAAAGATGTGGTGAGATTCAGAGATTGGCTGGATCTAGGGCAGGCTCCATATACAAATCAGTGGTCTCCTTTGGGTCTTCTGGAACTTCTTTATAAGCTTCCGTAACAGTAGGGTAGCACACGATTGGCTACAATTCATGCTATTCTTACAAATAGTCCACTATGGGAATCCCGAAACAATCAGCAGCAAAATGAGTTCCTGACAGGTAACCTAACCAAACGGTAGGAGAGGGTGTGAGTAGAATTACCTATTGCTAAACTATGTAAAAGACAACACAAACATGGCCTTAGCATTGTGTGTGTGCTAAGCATGGAACACCGTAAACACGATATTTTTTGAATGGCTGTCATCTTGGAAGGGCAGATCTGCTAGAGTATCTCATCTTGCTCCACATGTGATATATTCATTGGACTAAACATCCACATTTCAGCCCTCAGGCAAATTTTTCCTGCAAAAAATTACAAAAAATGTTTGGGAGCTGCCTCATGTTGTCCAGGATGAGACAAGGATGATGGATTCTGCTACCTGGCATACAAGCAAGCCAAAAGGAAAGGTTTATCACCACCACCACCAATATCACTCCTCCCCATGATTCATCATTGAGGTGAAAAAGTTTGCTTATCTTAGGGTTGAGATGCCCTCGTATGAAAGGGGCCAATGCCCACAGTTGCTTCCAAATTTATCTGCACTGTTGGTGCCAATAAACCAACCAAGCTTCTTGAAATTCCTTTAGGATAGCGTATGAGAGGGATTAAGAGACATTAAAGATTGTAGTGGGCTACTGAAGCTTAACTCAGATTTTACTGATGGAAAAGCACCATAGATATGTCTTTTTTTAAAGTTATCTTTTAATGGTGAAACATTTCCAAGGCACACATGCTGATTCTCTAAACTGATTTAAAAGACAAATTTTATGGTAATAGGTAAATGGATTTATACTTCCCTAAAGTAAAATTGAGGAAAAATTCTTGTCTTAATTTTGTTTTCCCATTGATCCAATATAGGAAGCTTGGGAGCAATGTTTTGTTTTTGTTTTTTCATGGAAGTATCCAAAAAAGCACAATAAGAGGAATTAATATTCTATGAAACTGACATGTTAGCTGAAAGTATAATTATGATACTTGGGGGGAAAGGAATAAAATCACCAGTAGTTCAACCATTTACAGTTTCTCTTAACATTTTGGTTTGTAAGCTTCCAACAAGTCGCTTTAAATAAGACAAACTTGCATATGTCTTGCTGCCTCTTAGGCTTTTATGATTCCCAGTGTATCCAACTCATGAGTGCTCATTAAATGTTTGTGCATCTGACTTAAAATTTATTTTAAAGCCCTCTGAATTCCAAAATACCTTTTCAGTGGCAAGACCTTGGGACCAAAGATCCAGGAGACCTGCATCCTCCACTCAGCTTTGCCATTATAAGCTGTATCACACTGTGTAAACTACCTCGCATCTTTGGCTTTCCGTTTCTTCATCTGTACAATAAAGAGGTTGGACCAGTAAATTCCTGGAGGTGAAATTGGTTTCCATGGTGAATTCAATTTAAGAGCTGCAACTGACTGCAGTAGTCAAGCAATTTTAAAAATAAGTTTTGGTCATTACTGCAGGAATTTTGTTTATAAAAAAAAGGCTGTAAACAATGAGAACTACAAGTCCAATTGTTAAAAGTTGGTGATCTGCATATATTTTTAAAAGCCTTATAAAGTCCAATATATAGGCATACCACTTCCAACAGGTTATATATATTTGTAATTGTTTTTACAAGTCCGTAATCAGATCTGTGAATGTAGCTTTTATTAAAAAAAAAAACAAAACAAAAAAACAAAAAAACACTATTCAGGAGCACAGTCTTCTCTGCACACAACACAGAAACACACATATCATTCATTACACTCTGAAGCTTTCTCTCCAGTAAGAATCCTCTGATACTGAGTAAGAATATTTTAGCTAAAGCTTTCTGCACATTGTTTAATTTCGGGTTCCTAGAATTTATTTCGCATATGAATTCTCTGGTGTTTAGTGAGAGCTGAGCTTCGACTGAAGTTTTTCCCACATTCCTTACAAGCATAGGGTTTTTCTCCAGTATGAATCCTCTGATGATCATGCAGATTGGTTTTCTTTCGGAAGGCTCGCCCACATTCATTACATTCATAGGGTTTTTCTCCAGTATGAGTTCTCTCATGCTGAATGAGGGATGAACTCTGACTGAAGGCTTTCCCACAGTCAATACATTCATAGGGTTTCTCTCCTGTGTGGGTTCTCTCATGTTGAGTAAGTGATGAGCGTCGGCTGAAAGCTTCTCCACATTCATTACATTCATAGGGTTTTTCTCCAGTATGAATTCTGTGATGCTCGATGAAACTTGTACTCCTTTTGAAAGCTTTTCCACATACATTACACTGATAGGGTTTCTCTCCAGGATGAGAAATAGGTTGTTGACTGAAGGCCTGCTCACAATCATAGGCGTTCTCTCCAGTATGGATCCTCTGATGGTCAGAGAAGTCTGTAATGTGACTGAAGTCTTGTCCACAGTCATTACAATGATAGGATTTCACTTCAGTCAGGGTGCTTTCATCTTGAGTAAGAGATGAGCTGTGCTTGAAATCTATGCTATAGTTATTGCTTTGGTAAGGTTTGCCTCTTTTATGAATTCTCATATGTTTATAAAGGGATGGGCTCTGACCAAAAGCCCTCCCACATATGCTACATTCAAAAGGTTTTTCTCCTGTATGAGTCCTCTCATGCTGTACAAGGGAAGAACATCGACTAAAGGCTTTCCCACATTCTTTACACTGGAAGGGTTTCTCTCCACTATGTGTGACCTCATGTTGAGTGAGGGACGTGCCATGCCTAAATGACCTTCCACATAAGTTACATCTATAGGGTTTCTCTCCAGTGTGAATTCTCTGGTGTTGAACAAGCGAGGAGCTGCGCTGGAAGGCTTTCCCACAGAGACTACACTGATAGGGTTTCTCTCCAGTATGAGCATTCTCGTGCTGACCAAGGGATGAGCTGTGCCTGAAGGCCTTCCCACACACATTACATTCAAAGGGTTTCTCCCCTGTGTGAATCCTCTGATGCTCAGTAAGTTGTGTCTTCCAGAGGAAGGTTTTTCCACAGTCAGTACATTCATGGTGTTTCTTTCCAGGATAAATTCCCTGATCTGTACCATTGGGGAAAGCTCCCTCTCCTTTATGAGTTTTCTCATGTTTAGTAAGTGATGATCTATGAATAAAAGCTTTTCTACATTTATTACATTTATAAGGTTTCTTTTTTGCAAGAATATTATTCTGATCAAGTAAGTCTGAATTATGTCCCAAATTGATTCCAAGAGTATCACATTCATTAGACTTTGAAGGAATGCTCAGTTGTGTAACCATGTCTGTATTCAATCTAGAGTTTCCACCAAATTTGTTTTGCTCAAAACTTTCCTCTGGTGTGATTATTTTCTTCTGGGTGGATACACCTGGCCCCAGATATCTCTTCCAGTTTTCTTGCTGTTTCTCTAACTGACTACTCATATCCCAAGCGTCTTCTAATGTGGCATGTGAGAGCTCATCTGTGCTAAAGGATACTTCAGATATGCTCTGCTGCAGATTTGACGATTTGGCTTCAGGCCTAGTCTTCCAGTCTGAAAGAAATCCAAAGCGCAAAAGTCCCCTATTTTCTTCTGTTGAAACAAACTGCTATAGTAGGAATGAGGAAATGAAAGAGATACAAATTACACATGACTCTGTTTTGAAATTAGTCCTGTAGCTTGGGGAGAAGACTCAAAATGGAGGAAAAGAAGAGTGAAGAGATGTGATAGTGCAGACTGCAGATCCAGAGTGAACGGTAAGTCCAGAATGAGGAAGCCTATCTAGGAGGACAGGTTAGGGAAATAAGGGAATAAGTGATTATGAGAGTGTTAGGCATAGATACAAATGGAATAGAATCACAGTCCATCTTGCAGGATCCTATCTGCTCTCCATGACTCCTGTCCATTTTACAAACCACCACAGAATTTACCTTCCTAATATATCCATTTTATAATTTCTTTAAAGTCATCTCTGAGGCTCCAGATCTTCAAACCCTGCAGAGAAAATCTGCAGCCAATGATCTAACAAAAATAATTCTTTGATCTACTTTGAAATCAAGGGCTATACTTCACAAGCTGAGAAAAAGTAATATTTCAGGAGATAAATCATCCTTGCCCTTATGACTGGGGCTATAGTTTTAGTCTATTTGAGTTCTGGTTCTATATTAATCACCTCTCTTAACCAAAGAAGATTTATTTTAATCTGCCTAATAAATTGATTTCTATACCTCTGTTTAACTTCAGAATACTAAGAGCAGAAAAATATTAATTTCTAGGTTCTAAGAATGGTAACTTTTAAAACCTAAGGGAAGGGAGGTTTCTGGAGTGATGGAAATGTTCCAGATCAATAGGAATTTGGGTTAGATGGGTGAATGCATTTGTCAAAACCAATTAGATAGTTAATATAAGAGTTATATATTTCATTGTATATAATGTTTTCTTTATAAAAAAAAAAACAAATATCAAGCTCTGTTTAATGATATGCACATGGAAGAATGCAGGGGTGAAATATACTCATTCTGCAATTTACTTGGAAATATATCAAAAAGATAAATTGATAGGTGGGGATAGATGAAGAAATAAGCAATAAAGAAAATACAATAAAATGTTAACAACTATAGAATTTTGGTGGTAGGTGTATGGTGTTCACTGTGTAATTTTTTCAACTTCTTATTTGAAAATTTTTACAATAAAATGTTAAGATGGAATAAAACAGCATCTAAGGGGCCCTAAACCCTCAATTCCTTATCCTGTAACAAGACTAAATTCTAAATTCCTGAGAATGGAGAATACTTTTAGAATACTTCTCAGTGGAACATTAAAAAAATGTTTGTTGAAATAAATGAACAATAAAGTTCTCTCCCTTGCCAGATTCCATAACGATCAATCAAGTAATTTCTGACTGTCTTCTATGTATATGCTTCGCAACACAGATTAAATATATAGAAATAAAACAGACTATCCAGGAGCTTGAAATCTAAGAAGAGAAACAAGACTCAATTTTTTGACCCCCCAAAAAATCATTAGATGGTATATTAATTCTGAATTTGTGTTGTAGAGATGTTATAAATGATATTTGTGATCAGAGAAGGAAGAAGTAAATATATTAGTATATATTAGGTTTCATAAATTAGACAGACCTTGAACTTAAAGAATAGATGGCTTTGGATAGGTGGACGGTATTATCTAATGAAGTTGAGTATATGCTACTTATAGAGGACATTGAAAGGGAAGTTTCTGTTTCTGATAATGAGGTACAGGGAATAATAGCAAGGTTCTTGTCACAGATAGGTGGTTTATGAAGATAAAGCAATAAAATCCAATGTGGTCCATCAAGATGAATAGATAAAACAAAATGTAGCACATGCATACGATGGAATATTACTCAGAAACAAACAAATGAATACAAAGGAATGAAGTAATACATGCTACAACATGAACCTTGAAAACTTTATGCTAAGTGAAAGAAACCAGTCACAGAAGGCTACATATATAATTCCATTTATAGAAAATATCCAGAATAGACAAATCCATAGAGATAAAAAGTAGATTAATGGTTACCAGGTGCTGGGGGTAATAGGGAATAGAAAGTGACTTCTGATGGGTATGGGGTTTCTTTTTGGGGTGTTGAACATGTTCTGTTCAACATGATAGTGGTGATGGTTGCACAACTCTGTATATATCTGAGAAACCACTTAACTGTATACTTTCAAAGGGTAAATTTTATGTTTTGTGAATTACGTCTCAATAAAACTATGATCTTAAAAATCCAATATGAATTATGAAAAGAAAAAAGTGAGCAATTTCAACTGAGAATTATAGTAAACTAAGCCTGGGGCTTGGTTTAAGATGTCACTAGTAGCAGTTAAAAGGCAGGAACATCTAAGATACTTCTCAAAGGAAGAAAGTAACCTGGATTGAAAGAAAAACACTAAACTGACTATGGTGTGTGGCCTGAGAGATTAGAAATCCAGCAGTTTCTAACAGGCCAAGAGAAAAATGGGTGATGAGCAACGTAGCAAAATGTGCTGGCTGGAGATGAAAGATGATTAATTTAGATTTTACACCTTTCATAAGAACTGCACAGGACTTCCAAGTGGAGGTGTCCTGTGAGAACAAAAAAATTTGACCAGGGTACAAGGATGATTTCTGAGTCTATACATAAAAAAACAAAAAAACAACAAAAAAAACCCAACAACAAAAAAAAACAACTGCAACTACCAGAAGGCAAGCACGCTTTTAGGGAGGTAACAGAAAAAGAATGGGGAGGAAGCTGGAGGGCTGACTCCTTAAGGCAGATTTGCTTAGGGGGAAAAGCAAGAAAAGCCAAAGACCTAAAGCCAAGAAGCACTTAACAAGCGGAGGGACCAGGAGAAGATAATACTCCAGGAACTGCAGAGGGAGGTAGTGAATCAAATTGGCATGAATGCAAGATGGAAGGAAGACCGTGTTGCTCCCCAGACAGGTATTAGAGGAATACGGTCAGGGAAAGAAGTCTGAAAACAAGTTATAAAGGAAGGGAGAACCAAGGCTGTGGGTATTTCCTACAAGTCTGGGGCATTCCATGGTAAAAGCAATAAGATAAAACAAAGAAGAGACATGGAAGTTCAATTATGTCTGAATGAGTAAGAGAAGAGATCTCTAAATAATGACGGGACACTGAGGACACCAGGGAAGAAAATAATCCAGAAAGTAGGGTTACAGGATAGAGAGAGATGGTATTTTGAGTGTAAATAAAACAAAGGATCTTTTCCTCTAAGACCTACCAGAAGCAGAAGCACCCTAATGGAAAAGGGAGACATACAGAGGTGTCATCCATGAGATAGATAACCTCCTCTTCCAGTCTAGGAGCTCCCAGGACAGAATTATAAGGGGCTCCCCCCTCCCTCAGTTCTGCCACTGTCTATACTGCTTCCTACATGCTTAATTCTCACTCTTTACCTGGAAAGAAAGGTCTTTGGATTTCTCCCTCTGATAGCCATGGTTCTTCTCCTTGCTCCAATTTGAAGATCACCTCTGGCTTGGAAACTTGATATCCTGCTCATGAGTGAAAACACAAGATCTGGTTGTTTGTGCAAGTGGACAAAGAACTCTCCTACAAGTCAGTACTAGTCCTTGAACCTCAGGAAGTCTGAAGAAAAAAAAAGGTTTAACTTGAGGAATAAGGCAATCAAATGATCTACTTCCAGTTCTACAAAAGAAAAACCTTTTTTACCTAAAGAGGTTCAGAAACCGGTGAGGCTGAGTCCCAAAATGGTGAACAAGATGTGACCCTGAACACAGTCACCTGAGTTATAGTCAAAAAGCCCCACAGCCTTAGCAACCAGGAAAGGAAAGACCCACCAACAGGCAAGACATTGAGATGTGGTACTTACCAAGAGAAACCAGGTTGCTGTAGTTCTCCAACATCACATCTCTGTACAAGCGCCTCTGAGCAGGGTCCACGTGGCGCCATTCTTCCTGGGTGAAGTCCACGGCCACATCCTTGAATGTCACTGATTCCTGTAGGATCACATTCCCACTCAAGGAGGATCAACCCTACAGATGCTCCCATGGCAATACTGGGAACATACCATAGGGTCTATCAGAAGGAATGATCACACATTTAATACGCTGAGTGTGCAATGTTGGTATAAATATACTAGTCGTTTACGTAATTTTATAAAGAACCTAATATTCAGGCAGGAAAATTACGAGGGGCAATATGTCATGCAATCCTGTATCCCTACTTAGGTTTTGTCGTTTCCCTTCAAAGCCAAGCCTTTTTATACAATCGTCAATTCCTTCTTGACTTCGCACTATTTTTGTTACAAAATCCAAATATGGTGGAAAACTAAGAGTGGCAGCCCTCTTTCACGCCTATCACCAATCCCACTTTACCTAAAAATAACCACCGTTAACTTTGGTGCATATACTTAAGGGTCCCTTTTCTGTGTTTCACAAACAAACGTATACAGTGTCTTGTTCTACAACTTAACGATGTATCTTGGAGATTTTCCCATAGCAGTATGTATAATTTCACCTTATTCCTTTGAATTGCTCCACAGCACTCCATAGTACAGCTGTATTATAACATACCCATTACCCAAAACCAACAGCACCCATTGTACTAAGAATAAGATTCAAGCTCCCATCACTCAGTGGGCATCCTCACCGGGCTCTAGCCGTGCTGACCTTGCGATCCCTGAACACATCAAGCTGTTCTCACCCTGGGCATTTAACTTGTTACTCACTTTCCCCTGAGGATCCCCACATAGTTGATAACTAGTTACTAGTTATTTAGGTCTCATATCTAGCATCACTTCCTCAGAAAAGCTATCTTAGCATTTTCCTCTAATTTACTGTCTATCATTTTATGTTTAATTTTCTTCCTAGCACAGGTATCTCTCACTGTCCAAATTCCTGCCACCTGGCCTCGGAAACCATTTCAAATAGATTCAGATAAAAAGGACACTTGTACTTCTAACCATTACCCGAGATTGCTTACTTGTTACCTTGTCTGTCTCCCAACTGTGAGCTTTCATGAGAAGAGAGACTTCATCTATCTCCATCATAGCTATCTGCCCAGACTGATGCCTAGCACACAGTGGATGCTTACAAATACCTGGTGATGAGTGGACCAGGTCGTGTTAATAGACATTTGGATTATTTCCAATATTTTGCTATTATAAACATTACTGTACTAAATATTATTTGTGCAATTATGCTAGAATTTCTCTAGAATAGACAGCTAGAATTGAAATTGCTGGTCAAAGGTCTTTTCATGCTTCTTATCCCACTCCAATCACTTTTTCCTTACTACCCCACTGAAACGAGGCTGGCTGGGGTCCCCCATGCCTCTCAACTGTCAGTTCTGGTGCTCGTGGGTTAATTTTTGTCTTGCCTCAGTAGGCCTTGTTATGGTATCTGTTACCTATTGTTCGCTGTGCTCCCAGAGTGTCAAGACCTGTTTCAGGTACCTTTAAATCTCCAGAGGTCAAAATCATTTTGGTATGTAAAAGACAATTAAGAGTTTGCAAAATTATTCAGGTAAAATATACTCTGAAATGTCCACTGTGAGTTAGCCGCTCTGAGTCAGAGTAACTTTAGGGCACTCCCAGTGCTGCAGGTCACACCTATAGTAAAAGGATCCAGTAACATCCTGTAGATACTGCTCACTCTTCTTCCAGATATAACTGGACCTCAATATAAACCCCTTCTAAAAAATTAATAAGAAGTAGCAAATGTTCCCCCTCCTTCTTCATGCTGACATAAAAGTACCATGGCCAAATAGTGGAGCCCAGATCAAAGAACTGCAAACAGCACATATTCAGTTGAGAAGACTCAACTTCATGGGCCCCTAAAAAGCTCCACAACTAACAATGTGTAATATCCTTGGCAAATTGCAGACATCCTAGGGATCCAATTTTCTCATCTATAACACGGGTCCCCTAAACTAAAGTAAGAGTTTTAAGAGCAGAAGGGCAATTCCAGAAAGTACATGTGCAAATGTAAAGACACACAGTCCTTCAACTCTAATGTTCCAATTCTGGAGGAGAAATCCACTCGAACTGTAACTTGGGAAACTTTGCAAAGCTGAAAACCAGAGAATGGCAGCTAATGTATAAAAATAATCTAATTTATAAGCTCCCCCCAAAGACCAAGTCAGTTTGCCCAATTAGAACACATTAAATTAAATGGCATACAGTATGGTGTTGTCACTCAAGTACTCAGTGCTCTCTGATACCAGACCAGTAGTAGTTTGGTAAGCTGAGAATTAACAGCATACCTAACAACTGAGTACAGAGAGAAGCATTAGTGTTAGCCTTTACACACATACACAAATGCTCTATTTAGGCTAATGGCATCACCATCTGCAGTATCCCAACTGGAAACCTAGCCCTCATCCTTGACTCTTCATTTTTCTTCTGTGCTCTGAAATCACCAAGAGCCTCAAAAATGTCTCCTATATGCAGTCCCTCCCCTTCATCTTCCAAATTTGGCTCAAATCGTCCCTTGCCAAAAATACCACGAATCCGGGGAATAACATTCTAGATCTACGCTGTCTAATATGGTAAACAACTAGCCACATGAGGCTACTGAGCACTTGCAATGTGGCCAGTCCAAATAACATGTGCAGTAAGTGTAAAATACACACTGGATTTCAAAGACTTAATATCTCCTTCCCTGCAAAAGTAAAATACTTTATTAACAATTTTAAAATATTGATTCATGTAGAAATGGTAATTTGGCTATACTGGGTTAAATATTATGTCACAAAAATCAATTCCACCTGTTTCTTTCTATACTGTGATTACTAGAAAGATTTAAATTACACATGTAGCTTTCAGACAACACTGTTCTAGATTGTTCTAGAGTTCCACCTCAGGCCATTTTCTTCAGGCTACTGAATCATCTTTCTCTCAAACTCTGCCTCCTGCCACATACCCCATGCTTCTACCATATGTAATCTTTGCCCTGATTATATCATTGTTTTGTGTCTCCTTACACCTCTGTAGGTACTGTTCTGACCATCATGTACTTTCTTCCCTCAGCTCTAAAGGCAAAATTCCTAGACATCCTTCTAGAACCAGTTCAATAGGCCCTTCCCTTCTGAAGCTCTTCCAGATCCCTCATCTGCCCTCACCTCCCTTCAGCATTGGGTCCACATCTACATTTCACAACTGTAACTGTTTATTCATGTTTTCTCCCTCAACAAGTTCCCAAACTCCTTTTTACTTTAATATCTCCAAGACCAAGCATGTTAAAATTGTCCAGAATCACATGGACAATTAAAAAAACTTGCCCATGTGAGGGCCCTTCCAAACAACTTTTAAAACCTCCTTATGTGATTCGTTATAAACGAGCAACAGCTAACATGTATTAACCATTCACCACAGGCCAGGTACTGAGCTCCATCATGCATGTGCACTCTCTCACTACATTTCCCCGTTGAAGCCTTACTGCCCACCAAGGGGAGCAGACACCTTTCTCTGACTGGTTCTGAAGCATGATCCTGGTTAAGAACCACTGTCTGGAACAGAGAAGGCATTCCAAAAGTGTTTGCTGAGTGAATGGAATCTGGGTAATTCTCACCAAAGGAAAATGAGTAGTCATTTTGAAGATTAAGAAAAATTATAGATCAGTGAACTAAATTCTTGGCTTATAAAAAGTAGTAAACAGAAAAACGATGACATTAATAGCCAAATCTAAACACTATTTCCTCTTAAACACCAGCCAAACAGAGAAACCTTAGACAAATCCAGTTTAATTAAAAAAAAAAAAAAAATGAATGTAAGGTAAAATACACAGTATGTTAAGGAATGTGAAAAATCTTAATGAAATAATTTTTAATTAAATTACCATACTGACACAAAAAAGTAGAAACCTTAATAATTGAGGAAATAGTAGAAATTGTTCCCAAATCATTCTCTTTATAAAAATCCTGGCTCTAAATGTTTTATAGGTAAATTGTTTCAAAAGACAGAAAAAAAGGAAAAGCAATCTGAATGTCTACAAATTAAGGATATGCATGGCACCAAAAGTTTTCAAAGATCTCCCTTTCTCTGAAGGCTATTTCACTTAATACAGATATAAAGAATTTTTTAAATTGCATTTTCAAAAAATTATCTGCTGTAATCAATGGGATTTTATCCAAGTATTATTTATAATACTAAAAATTTTGGAAACAACCTAAATGTCCTATGAGGAATGGTTAAACAAATTTTGGTATGTTCATGCAAAGCAATATAATCTGGCCATTAAAATAATAAAAAAATAAAAATCCTCAAAAATTATATGAAATTTAAAATATTAGAATTGAAAATGTTTCAGGGAAAAAATATGCACGAGAAAAAGGATATTTCTCGAAACACAGGTGCTACAGAAAAGGCATCATAAATGACTTTTTTTCTATTAAAAAGTCTACTATATATGATCGCATACTTTATATTTATTTTAATAAAAGAAGTATAATACACAGAAAAGTCAGAAAAATAACCTTACTTTGGAAATAGGTCTTAGAGGAATAAGTTTTGACATCCAAACATTGCATTAAAAGCAAAAAAATTTTTAAATGTTTTACAGAAGTCATATTTCATGCAGTTATTTTATCAGAAAATTAGTGTCACTACAACTATAAAAATATCATTTTTTTCCATGTAAGGAGTAGAAAATGCAGAAAGTATAAAATTGCTGCTTGGGGCTCAGTGGTTATGAATGTTTGCTCATGTGAGGCCCACTTACTACATGTGCAGTTTGCAGCAAGGGATGAAATGAGTTATGCAGTTCTGCCCTAAAGGAGCTGAAAGTCCAATATAAGAGATGAGTGGGTAAACATATCACTCCATATGGCATAAGAACAGAACTATGACAGGTGTGCACAGGTGCTATGGGAATGCAGAAGAGGAGCACCTGACCTTACCCAGGGCTAGGATTGTCTGAGCTGAGGCTTAAAGACCAGCTCCAGCCAGCTGAGGAAGAAGCTGAGAAAGGGGACTTCCAGACAGAGCTTGAACATCCTTGGCAGCAAATATCCTGACCAGGTTCAGAAAGTGTCCTGGTAGCCCAGGAGTACCCTGAGTTTGGGTGACCTGAGCCAGCTTTTACTGGGTCTGTTCATCATGATGATCTAACCACAGAACTCTTGGGATCTGGAGTCAACAGACCAGGCCCAGTCCCTCTCCATTTCCTCCCCCTCATAGTAGAACACCAAGAAACCTGGACTCCAAGTGCAGTTTTCTTATAAAACTTTCCCCATTTCTTAGTGTTCTGGTGCCCTCAAATTTAAGAATGGTAAATACTTTTTCTTTAAAATTCCCAACTAAAAATGTACATACAGGAGGAAGAAAAGGATACACCGTTTTTACATAGGTATGGCTCAACTCTGCAAAGAAGCCTGACTTTCAAACTCTTGTTCCTACACTTCCCAATTCACAACAATCTTTAAAACTAAGAAGAAACCGTACTGGACATGGTTCCATAGTGTAGAGGTTAGCATGTCTGCTTTACATGCAGAAGGTTCATGCCCCAGTGGAGCCACGGCCCATGGTCTATGGCCATGCCACCCTGAACAAGCCTGATGTCTGATCTCGGAAGCTAAGGAGGGTCGAGCCTGATTAGTACTTGAATGGGAGACCACCTAGGGAGACCAGGTACTGTAGGCATAAATAATAATAATAATAAATAATAAAAAGAAAAAGCCGTACTAGTTCCCTGCTCAAAATCATTGGCTCAAGTTATACTAGGTTCCTGAACATCAGACACACATCCTGCTGTTTCCAGAGAACTCATCCAAACCTTCAAGCCTGCTCAGATTTCACCATAAGCATAAGGCTTACCCTGGCTATCCTATTTAAAATTGTACTCCTACCACAAGTTTCTACCTCCTCTACTCAATCCCCCTTATCTTTCTCTACCTTTTTTTCCTGAGGTACTGTCACCTTCCAGAATATCATTTAATTTACTTATTATATTTTCTGTCACATCCTTCTAGGATGTAAGCTCCACAAAAGCAGAGAGCATTATAAATTTTGTTCTCTAACATACTGCACCCACCTAGAAAAGTACCTCAACACATTATAGGTGTTCAATGACTATTTGCTAAATGAATACATGAATGAATGAATGGGTTACCAAGGCCAAAAAAAAAGTCTAAACCCCCTTCTATTGTCATCTACCCACTGCCTGCCGCCCACACCGTCACAGAGGCCAACGGATTCATGAAAATGACCCTCATCTTCTTGACTCTCAACTCCCTGACCCACGGTCAATCATCTCTAACCCCATCCCCTTCATTTTCACCTACTTAGACTCTGCTCCTATTCAAAGGTGTTCCCACTGACTTTCCCACAGGCAGAACTTCCTCTCCCCTCTATGGTACTCACAACAGCCTCTGGACCTCTGCAACACTTGACATCACATTTCTTGCACTATACTTTGGCATGAGGCTGTATTCCCCCCAACTAAATTAACTTCCTGCATAAGCAGTCACATGACTCAATTACTCATCTTTTGCATTCCGCTAAGGACCATGCTCAGAGAAAGGGAGCCACTGACAAAGGAAAATTTCTGCCTAAAAAGCCCCCGTGGTAGGTCTTGTCCTATTCTGCCCTTCAGCCCAAGTTAGGTAACCCAAGTGGATGGACTATCAGGCCATTCCATGAGAATAGTATAACTGAACCAGAATGCTTGGGGAACATAACTTTAAAAGTGAATCTTAAAGCAATCCCTAAAATTCACTGCTCAGAACACAAACCTACTTTCACCACTATAAAAGCAACTCCCACCTGTGGAAAAGATCATCACCCCCATGAGGTGTTAAGTCATCCTAATTCTCACAGCCTACTTAGTTAACACTTTGTATAGAAAGGTGCTGATGATGAGTGATGTGCTCTGGCTATCCTCAAACCAAATAACTGTCTTATGCTAGTATTGTTACTCGCCTTAAGCCTCACCCTGTAAAGTAAAAACATATAACAATTAGTAAAAGATATGCAGGCATTTTATATCAGTTTACACAGTGTGCATTTCATTTACTGTAAACTACTTTTAAAGTACAATACTCGTTGGTTATTTTTATCTGAATTGATCTTGTCTTACACACATAGCAACGAGAATGTGATTTTTTTCTTAGTCCTAAAAAGACTGGACCTTGTTATATTTTCATGATACACTCCACGTAAATCAGTGGATAACTTCAGAGTAGTTGTGCTTCTAGAAAATGCCTCCTTCCTCACAAGAAGAAATGGGTTTACAAATCAGCTTCATTATTAATTATACTGAAGGCTGGACATCAGGGGATGTGCACTATAATGCCTTTGTTAAAGCAGAAAAAGACATGAAAAGTTACCAGTCAAGTCCTCCTTGTTTTTTTTTTGTTTTCCTTCTTGCCCGAAAAGGCCTATCTCCAGTCTCTTCCTAGATAAATCCAGACCACGCTTCTTAGGTCCCTTAAGGTCTCTCTATGGACCCTGGGTCAGAGCTTGGCTCCTCTCCCCTTCACTGACAGTCATTTCCTCCAGTGCGGTTTTCTGTCCTGTCACCTCATCCTCTCCATTCCTTATTGGCAGAGTTCAAGGAACTGGATGGGTACTCAGGACTCTCAACACTGTCACTTCTCAATACATCCAACCTTAACTCCTCCCAGAAGACCACACGGCCTTAGTCCTGCCCCATCCCATCCCCTGTCCGCCCAGTACTGCCCTACTTTTGGGAAACCTGCTCCCTCCAGCTCTGAACACCTTCGGTTTCACATGGCTAGGAGGCTCTGAGGGGGGCGACCGAGCCAGGAAAGGAAGTCGCCAGGATAACAATGACTGCTCCAAGCACGCCCCCGGGGACCTCATTAGATAGGACACCACAGAGCAGTAAAGACCTCGCTGCTCACCTGGGGCGTTGCCTTTGGAGGCCTCGGGGCCATTCCTGCCTTGCTGGGGCCTGGTTCCCAAACAGGGCCTGGGGAGAAGAGAGTCCACTTATCCGGTTACAACCGCCGACTCAACCTGGTCTCGGCGGCCCCCATCCATCCCCGACACTTTTCCCAAGGAGAGTGGTGGAGAGGTGCCCGGGGCACCGCGTGGGCCTGCTGCTCCCCCTTCCCCAAATTAAAGGTTCATCCCGTCCAGGACACACTCTGGCCACGCCCAGTCCCACCAGCAGGATAGAGGGCGCGGCCCCACAAACACACGCCAAACCCGTTAGAGGTGCAACCCCGACACGCGAACTCAAATCACCGCTTCCTGGGGTCTCTGGATTTTGCGACTGCAGGTTCACCCAGGGCTCGGGCAGGTTCCTTCGGCCCCGCTGCAAGCTCAGTTCTCTCCAATTCTGATGTGCAGCGGGGCGGCCCAAAGCGGCCTTAGCCGCACCGGGGCCGGACAATGGCTGCAGCGCCGGGGTAAAACCGGAAGTGCGCCTGCGCGCGCAGAGCCTCGCTCCTGCAATCCCGGGGTCTCAGCAAGCTCGCAGACTACACTTCCCAGAGGCCCCCGCGTGTGGGCGCTCAGAAACTGACCCGGGAGACGCCGCACATCTTTCCCAGCACAGCGGTGGGATACGCTGTGAGGGCTCAGCGAGTCGGAGAGCCAGACTTGAGTACTTTTACGTCCACTTATTCCAGTAATGGTCATTGAGCACCTTCTCTTGTGCTTGGGGCATGTTGCTAGCGGCGGGATACAGCAGTAGATCGGAAAAACTCTGTTTTGGGGGGTGAGCTTGAACTCCTGTGAACGAGGAAGTGCTACAATAAAAACGTAAACAGATCAACAAAATAATTTCAGGGACTGACTTCAGCCATAGGAATAAGATAGTGAAGGGAGTGGGGCAATGTTGCATTTCATCACAAAATGCTATTTCTTTGCCTCTTGTATGCCATCTTCCCCCATGTTATGCCAGCTTACTGAAGGTTTGAACTCTGACTCATCAGACCACACCCACTACCAATAAGACACTTGATGAGATCTTTAATGATGCTACAGAAGAGAAAAGAAGAAACTTCAGATATTCCATGGCCTTGTGAACAGTTCGCAGAGGCAAACGGTGCTACTTCTGTGTTATTCCATTTCTTGGTATACCATTACTCAGGATTTTGGGTTTAGGACGAACTATAAATGATGGAAAATTTCAACGCCAAGATAGGTGAAAGCCAGGTATGGCTATCAGATTTACATAATTATGTTTTATATATCACAAATAGTCTACATTTCCTAGACTTAGACTTAATTTCTCGACATTAGAGTATCGCATAGTCCCATGGTAGAAAATGATTGCAAGTAAATTTTCCTTTTGTTACATTGCTTTATCAAGAAGATGGATGTTAAAAAAAAATAATGATTTGTACCAATGCCACTTAAATATAATGCTCTGGAACAAGCAGAAAGCATAATTCAGAAATATGAATGAGTCAGTTTAAGCAGACCTCTCTGCGGCAGTGTCTTAACAGCTGAGACTTAAAGAGAAAACTGCAGGAACATAAAGAAAAGAATTTCAGGCTGAAGGAACTGAGGGTATAAAGCCTGAGGTGGAAATAAGCTTGATGTATTTTAGAAACAGATGCTTAACCTAGCTGTAGCAGAGCATGGGGCAGGAGAGTGAGTGAAGTAGAGACAAGACAGGTAGGCTGGGGTGATTGGATGGAGCAAGGTTTTGGAGGCAAGGTGTGGATTTTACTTTGAGTGTGATGGGAGCCACTGGATTAGCAGCAATGGAGTCACTTGTCACTATGAGGGGATAAGAGAAACTTTTCTTGTTGTCTCAGACTTGGTAACCAGGACCTAGAGCTGAGATTAAGTTATTCTGCATTCTGAGGACTTTGCAGAAACATGGCAGAGCGAGAGAATCCCCATATCTTTCCCCTTGAAACAACAATAAGCTGAACATCTAAAACTCGACAAAAAAACACCCAAACTGCACACCAGCACATCTGAGTGTGGGATCTGTGCATAAGAGCTACTACAGGTCAGAAACACGGGTTTCGTGTGGTGGACTGGGAGAAATAAAGAAGCTGCCTCTCGCAGCAGCCAGAGCTCCCTGTAGGAGGAGAAGGAGGGGAGAAGGTGTGGTGACTTCCTAGAACAGCCCTGCCTGGGAGACTTGTGAGTTCCAGCTGGCAGCAGGGCCCAGTCCTCAGGGCAGAAAGCAGAGATGCGGCACGAGAAGGCAGAGAAACAACAGTTGATTTTAACCAGGCAGTTGCAAAACCAAGGCTGAGCCGCAACCCCCAACTCCCAACCCAAAGGCTCCCTTCCCCCATACCCTCCAAGACCAATCACTGCGGAGCCACAGGGGAATCTGAGCAAATGCTGCCAAGACTGTCACTGACGCTGACAGGGACTGAAACTGAGGGTAACGAGCATGATTAAATATCTACAAGAAAATTAAAAAAGGCATTATTATATAAAGCAGGGAGCCAGGAGGCTTAGACGCCACCTACTGGAAACCAAAAGAAAAGTGCCTTCTTAGCAACAGGCTAAAGAAAAACCTTTATATAATAAATCTTCTTTCTGGAAAAACAGCAGACTACACTTCCATTAATGCCCAGGTGAAGAAATAGTCCATTAAACACCACGAACAACCAAGGTGACAAGGCAGCTCAGAAAGAAAGAGAAAAATCTCTAGAAAATAAGCTTACAGACATAGAAACAGGCAGCTTAAATGACAGAGAATCAGGAAGGTATTTCTGAAAAAACTCAATGAGTTCTGAAACAAGTCATAACAATAATTTCAGGAATTGAAAAACCAACTAGATGAGCAGAGCAGGGAGAGTGAAACCCTCAGAAAGAACAGAATAGATCTTCTCGAGATAAACTACGCACTGCAAGAGTTGAAAAATGAAATAGCAAGCTTGGGAAATAGAGTCGACCGAATGGAGGAAAGGATCGGTGATATCAAAGACAAAAATCTAGAAATAAATCAGAAGGAAGAAGAGAGAAATCGAAGAATGAAAAATAATGAAAGAGAAATACAAGAACTAGCTGATACCATCA